GAAGAAGAAGAAGAAGAAGAAGAAGAAGAAGAAGAAGAAGAAGAAGAAGACATACATTATATTGCAGAAATTGTAGAAAAATTGTATTCTTTTGTTTGTTTATTTTTCTTTTATTCATTTAACTACTGTATGAAAGTTGAACAACATTGTATAAAAATTGTATTTAAGTGGTATTATATTGTAGTTGTATATAACTGAGTAGAAATAATGTACGAAAATTGGAGATAAGTTGTATAATATATAATTAGTTGTATAAAATTTATTTTTACTATGTATAAATCAAATACAAAATATACAAAAGACATATTATATAAAATTTGTATTTAAGTTGTATGTTATTGTAGTTGTATTTAATAGGTAGAAATAATGTGTGAAAGTTGTAGATAAGTTGTATAATATATAATTAGTGGTATGAAATTTATTTTTACTATATATAAATCAAATATAAAATATACAAAAGACATATTGTATAAATTTTGTATAAAAATTATTTTTAAGTTGTACGATATTGTAGTTGTATATAACTGGGTATAAATAATGTATGTAAGTTGTAGATAATTTAATTTCTTATCTCCAGCTAGATATTAGTCATCCTCAGCAAGTCTTGGTTTAGCAGAGTTATTTTGGAGGTTCAATTTGTTGTAAACACCAAGAGCAACCCTAATTATCTTCACAGCTCGAAATTTATAAAAATCGAACATAAGTTAGAATCTGCACAAGAATTTTTACACGTATACTGTTCTCGTGATTGGATATCTCCTTATATTCCTTTTTGTGAAGCATAATTTGCAATCAGATCACTAATTTTAATTTCATTTCTATCATCTACTTGATGCTTAATGTTCTTTTTTCTTTTTCTTTTCTAGTTGTTGATTTTTGTAGATCGAGGATGAAGAACGACAGATAATATCATGAATTCAAGCGGAAACAGTTTTCGGGCGAAGCAAGAATCTGGTGGAAACAACAACAGTAAATTGACCTCAAAGGCTACTACATCAACAAGTTCAAGGCAGTGGGGAGGCTTTAAAAATCCAAGAATTGTACGTGTATCCCGTACTTTTGGTGGAAAAGATAGACACAGTAAAGTCTGCACAATAAGGGGTCTTACAGATAGAAGAATTAGACTTTCAGTGTCTACTGCAATTCAATTCAATAAGGGGTCGAAAGTTGTCAGTTTTGTGTTCGATTTAAGAGGAAAGAGAAGAGGAGGAAAAAAAAGAAGGAAAATGGTGTAACTAAATCCCTTAATTGAAGGCACTAATAATGGATTGAAAGCCTTTTAAGGTGGAATGTATATATTTTGTAAACAAAACTTGTGTAGATAGGGTAATTTACTAAACATAAACATTTAGGGTAATAAAGTTTCCAATATGGCATAGGAATGTAAAAATCTCTTTTTAAAAAGTACTTTTGCGAGAAGCACTTCTCAAAATAAGATGATTTTAGAAGCTTGGCCAAACGGGCTATAAGTCTTCTTTTCTTTAATATTTCCCATTAAATTTAAAAAAATAAGGTCGGTTAAATATTTAATAAGGACCAAAATGCTGATTTTTTGCAAATTTAAGGATCAAATTGCTCAGATTATATTTGAAAGGCTATTTAAACTTTTTCCAAATGCAAGAGACCATATTTTTCGCCCATCTTGGTTCGAATGTTTCAATTGGTTTCCTCGGACATACAGCAACGTGGCAGTCTATTATTCGGTAGTGCTACTTGGCTTTTTTTAATTTTCCTACTCTTTTGCTTCCGGGGGTAAAAAT